TGAAGGAAAGTTGCTTTCAGTTGCGTGTAGGAATGTAGATTCCTGCATCTGCCTCTCAGCCACTGCTTACCCATGCTGAGCATAGAGAACATGGGCTGTATCTAACTAACCTTTACTCAGAGTAGACCTATTAAAATTAAAGGTCATAAGTTTGTTTTGTTCATTACTTGCAATAGATCTCTTCAGAGCATGGCTGACATTGGATACAGCCCCATGCTTTCATCTCCTAAAGGCACCTCTAGATGGAACAGTTTTCAAGCATAAATTTCCATATTTGAGGCATGCAAGCTGCACTAAATACCGGCTCTGAATCTAGCAGGATGAGTGCAGGCAGCAGAGTCCAAAAGAGGCATCAACTCAGTTTTACTCAGAAGTAGATCCATTAAAATACATGGACAACATGGACTAAGTGCCATTCATTTTAATAGGTCTACTCTGATTCAAACTGATTACCTGCTATGGCGGCTCTAAATCTTTGCATTAGTTGGTGCTTCTACCTAATAGCATCAGCAGTAGCTGGTGCCCATTGTGATTGGTAAAGGTGAAATGCAGGGAGGCCAGCAGTAGGTGGTGCCAAAGCCAGGCGGAGTCTACTAATTTGGTTGCCATTCTGTTCCCTGCTGAGGTCTACAAGGGCAATAGAAAGACTAAAGAGGAGGAAACTGAACCCCCTGGATTTGTTGCAAGTAGTAAGGCAGGCCAGTGGGTCATTCTAATGGGGCAGCCTCCATTGATGCAGCAAAAGAACAGCCCTCCTGGATTGGTCTAGAAGGGTTGGTCTAGTCTGCTACCACCAGCACCATAACCATCATCACCATCTTATTTTCATTACTGGGTTCTTTCCATCCGTGTTCTACTTAGATCAGACACACTGAAGTTAATGAACTTAGCAATAACCATCAGTTTCAAGGGGTCTACCTATCACCACCACCACCACTATCATCATTTATTTGTGGCTTACAACAAAAATGTTTAAAAATGACTTACAATTCTAAAGGCATCCACGATACAGAATTTAAAATTCATCAAAAAGACAAAAGATCATTAATTGACTAAAAGTGCTCATCCTGCAATACCATAAAAAAGAGGGGGGAAATCCAACTCCATCCTACTAAAAGATGAAAGCCAATGCAGATTAGGATATCATCATTCCATGTGAACAGCAACTGAGAGTCAAACGACTGGGTGAACAGGAATGTCTTTGCCTGGCTCCTAAAAGTTGTTAATGATGGCACCAAGCACATTTCTCTTTGAAGAGCATTCCACAATTGGGGAGTCACCACTGAAAAGTTCTGTTCTCATATTACCACCCTCTGCAGCTCCCTTGGAGGGGGCAAATGGAGAAGGGTCTCAGATGACGAATGAAGGATCTAGGTGGGTTCATGCAGGGAAAGGTGGTCCCTAACTTACTGGGGCCCTGAACGACATAAGGCTCAGGAATTGAGCACTAGGAAAGCACTAGGAATTGACCACCACTATTTCCAACACTTAAGCAAAATGCTTAAGGGAAGCTCCCTGCTAAAGCATGAAGTTAACAACCTTCATGGAGTCCCCCTTCCCCAGTGGGTGATTTTGCTCCTTCCTTCCTGGAAGGAGAGGTTGTTCTCAGTGTATCAAGCAGACACAGTTACTCTGCTTCTAGGATCTATGCCTCATTGATAGGAACCAGCGGGCAAAAAAGTACCAAATATTCCTTCACGGCTCTCTCTGGAGTCAGTTCATCTATCATAAACAGCAACATGAACCAGTCTTGATACAGACAGAAATGACCTCTTGCTCTACATATTTGTGTGTAGAGGGGAAATGGTGGCCGAGGCATGAATAAAGCCCGGCGAAAATTTGTTGTGACAGTTTATGACAACATACAGCTGTAACCCTCTGAGCATAGCATGCCAGATCTGTCTCTGTTAAACATAGTGAGACCAGGACTGAACTCTGCTAAGCACTGAAATTAATGCAGTAAGAAGTGTGATGTTGATTTAGAACGTACTCTCTTTCATCTTGTTGGAAGTTTTTTTCCTGGGATGTTTGTTTTGGAAGTCTAGTACTCTTAATCGGGGGGGGGGGCAGCATGGTGCCATCCATATATTATTGGACTCCCATCAGCCCCAGTAAGCATGGCCAATGGTCAGAGATGATGGGAGTTGTAGTCCAACAACATCTGGGGGACACTCTGTTCTACACTATACATCATATTATTGTTCAGAGTTTAAAAACATTTAAAAAAATCACTTCTGGATCAGGCCAGTAGTCCATTTCGACCAACATCCACAATGCATGTTTATGTAAAGCACACAAGCAGGACCTGAGTCCAAAGTGGAGAAAAGTGTTGGAAAATGGAGGCAGTGTTCTATTGTTCTAATTTCATAACCTTTTGATGTCCGAGAATTTCTTACAACAGCACTTTTTAGGAAAGTTCAGGATTATTGTTACCATTTCACAGATGAAACCGAGGCTTGAAAAAGAATGGCTATGAGCATTCATAATACAGGACTTTCTAGTTCTGAGCGCACATACTTTTACCCTCCAAAATGCTCTTTTATCAGTTCCAGTTGGCATGACCTGTGGTCAGGGGAAAAGGCTGCAACTCAGGGGCAGAGCATCATCAGGTCAGTGACCCACCTATTCCAACATCCTGTTCTCACTTGAGCTGGTGCCAGTGGGAGACTAGCAAGCAGGATTCAAGCACAAAGGCACCCTCCCCTCCTGTGGTTTTCAGCAACTGGTATTAGGAAGCCTTGCTGCCTCCAACTGTGGAAGCAGTGCATACCAATCATGGCTAGTAGCCATCAATAGCTCTCTCCTCCTCCATGAATTTGACTAATCCTCTTTGAAAGCCATCTACTAAGTTGGTGGCCATCACTGCCTCCCATGAGAGAGATTTCCATAGTTTAACCATGTGCTGTGTGAAGATGCTTCCTTTTGTCTTTTCTGAATCTTCCAATGTTCAACTTCATTGGACATTGCATTCTAGTCTCACGAGAGAGTGGAGAGGGGACTTTTCTTCATCCCCTTTCTCTATGCCATGCATCATTTTATAAACTTCTGTCATGTTCCTCTAAACTAAAAAGTCCCAAATGCATGCCACCCCCTTGAGGAGTCAATGGTCTGACTCATAAGGATAAGGAAGCTTCCTATGTTTCAGGTATTATAGGAGCTGTAGTTCAACAACATCTGGAGACCACCAGGTTGAGGAAGAATATGCTCTCATGCGGCAGACCAATAAACAAGGGATAGTTGATAGTTTGATCTTCAGAAGCACATATATCTTCTCTTTTGTTGATATGTACAGAGCTTGTTTACTATCTGCTCTAAGCACCCACTTCCCCACGCCTGCTACCTTTCCCACAAGCAAACAGTCTTGTGGAATTGCTATCAAATTCTCACATTCTCAATCACACCTGGAAATAAGCTTCTTTGAAATCAACAGGCCCTACTGCCAAGGGAGTCAGTTCCAGCACGGGTGTCGCAACAAAACAAAACATATCACAGAAAGAGTCAAGGCGGCCTCAGCAGGATCCCTATTACAAACATTTTCCCAGTGCTAATTTTTGCAGCGGGACAGAACTCTTTAAAACTGTCACTGAAGGCTTGTGTGAGAAAACATTTTTGCTTCCGCCAAATTGCAATCGACAATAGAGTACTTTACAGGGCTGAAAACAATTCACATAAATTATCCTTATAATCATTATAATAACATTGTAAGATAGTATAAACCTATTATCCCCATCATGTAGACTGAATGGCACCCAGTGAGGCAAAAATTGCATGGAGCCCACATTTTCAGTGGTGTATTACAACCACTTTCTAGTACTGAGCAGTAAAAAAATAGTTCCTATGAAAAGGTGTGAGCTTTTCAACTGCACCATTCAGAGCATGAATCGTTCTGGGAATCATTAAGAGCTATTTGACAGTGGAATGGACTCCCTCAGAAGGTGGTGGACTCTTCTTCATTGGGTTTTTTTAGACAGAGGTTCGATGGCCATCTGCCAGGGGTTCTTTAGCTATTATTCCTGCATTGCAGGGAGGTGGACTAGATTACCCTTCAGGGCCCTTCCAACTCTACTTTTCTACAATTCTGTGAGAAGTTGCTCAGAAATATATCTGAACTCTTACAAAAATATTAAATGGTGGTGGTGTGGTGGGGGAATTAAATAAAAAAACAAACCAGAGAATACTAAATAGGCATGAGCAAAAATGAATGTGTTGGGGAAATGACAATTTTCTATCTGTTAAGTTATTTCTGCCTACATGAGACTCAATTCTCAGAAATGTTACACAAACCAAGAAATGTTGCAGATCTAAGTAGTAAATAGTTCATCTATCATCTATCTATCTATCTATCTATCTATCTATCTATCATCTATCATCTATCTATCATCTATCTATCTATCATCTATCTATCTATCATCTATCTATCTATCTATCTATCTATCATCTATCTATCTATCTATCTATCTATCTATCTATCTATCTATCTATCATTTCCTCCCGCTGTTGGAGGGTGATTAAATTCATCTGAGCCACCAAAATGAGATTTTAAAAACTCAGAAAAAATTATTAAATCCCAACAGCAGAATTCTCATTCTGTGTGTACATTTTGTTATCTTTTCGCTCATGTAAAACTTCTGACAATTTAACCCGACATAGTCGGGAAATATTTTCTCAAGGAAGAAGAGGTGAACAAGGATTTGACGTTTCTCCTCCAAACACACCATATGCTTTTGTTAAAAGGATTAGCAGGAACCTGGGAAAGGAGACCCAAAGCGGACTCCAAACTGGCACTCGGCTTCTCCCAAGCAGAAAAGGGAGCCCAATATTTCCATTTCCCGGGAGATGCTGCTACATACACCCAGCCGTGCCCCGCCGGCTCACTTTTTGGCAAGGCCTCGACATGGTCCACATTCGCCGGCTGCCAGATAAAGTCTTCCAGCCGCGCCGCGGGAAGATCCCTGCGCTTCTCGCCGCGCCCCGTCGGGTGTCGCTGCGCCTCCACCTACCTGATCCGTGCTGCTGGCGGAGGATGGTGGCTTTGCCCGGCGGAGGCGAGGCCGACGACGCTGCTGCTGCTGCTGCCGCCGCCACGATAGTCGTGGTGCTGGAGTTGGAGGAGGAAGAGGACGACGACGAGGAAGCCGCGGCGGGGATGGAGGCTGCTGACGAGGAGGAGGAAGAAGAGGCTGCTGCTTCGCCCTGCGCCGGCAGGAGACGCTTGTCCCCCAGGCGCGGCTCGGCCGTGGCTCGCCCGGGCGGGCTACTCCTGCGCGGGCCGCTGCTCTGGATGTGCGAGACCGCCTCGGCCGCCTGCACGTCGGGCGGGGAGAAGCGCGCCAGGACGCGCAGCTGCGCCTGGGCCTTGTGCTCCTGAGTGTCCTCGTCGCCGTAGTCCGACACGCGGCACTCGTACACGCCCTCGTCCTGTCGCCGCACACCGGACAGCCGCAGCCGGTGGGAGATGTCGTTACCCTGGACGCGCACCGTCTGCAAAGAGAGCGAGAGAGAGCGAGAGAGAGAGACGCCTTAGCCGTCCAGCAGGACTGGTTTCCCGGGATGAGGAAGGAGCTTGGGGTCTGTTCCAGCGCACAGCTCGAAAAAGACCCGCGATGTATATAAGGCGCTTGCTTCCCACTTGTCCGCCCCCTCCACTTGCTGGACTCCTGCCATGAACATATTTTTCTTTTGGAGATCTGAACATGTGGGAGACAACTCGCCCCTCTAGAAATATCCTATATGCCTTCTGTATCCCCCCTCATCCCTCCCCCCGTGCCACCACTGTACAGTCAAGATCCAAGCTGCAAACTTTCCTGGGTGTAAAGTTTGTAAGGAGGTGTGCAAAGGATTCCCCTGTTAGGTGCAAACAAGCAAAGCTGTATAATTTTAATAAAATACCCTCCTTGCCATAGAGGTGTGCTCACATGAACCCTCAATCCCTTGGCACCCACAGCTTACGGCTATATGGCGAACAAGCAACTGTAGGCACACATCAGACCTTCTCTTATGCAATGTGCTCACATACTATATTTCCAGCGATGACTGATTTACATGCACACTATGTTTCTAAACACACGTATGCAGAACTGCCTAGAGCTTGTAGTCACTGGGAGTTTGGGGAAACCATCCCTCCCTTGATTTTCAACCTCCTCTCCCTCCCCCCCAAATTCCTAAGTAAGTGTGTGTACGTTTGCAGCCTTAATACTGCAACTCTGACATATATTTTTTATTTATTAGATTTATATACTGCCCTTCATCAAAAGATCTCAGGGTGGTCCACAAGGTAAAATCGGGAACAAAGTCCCTCCTGCACAAAGAAGCTATCTTCTGTAACTACAGATGGGCTTTGCATTTTACAACATCGAGTGCCATAGTGTTTACATGTTTCATGTTTACATAGCATCTGCCAATGGTACACTAGGTGGCTGTGCAGGATTTGGTCAATATGCACGCTGAAGATAAACCAGTCTCTGGTCACACTGTATGGACAAACATACACTTGAAGCTGCCTTGCACATAGGGGGTACAGTACCAGCGAGGAATTAATCTGAACCCGAGTCTGATTATGTGCACACATGTTTTTCTTGCATGAGCAAGAAGCTTCAAAGCTGCCCATGTTTCCCAGGAAAATGCCAGAAACAAACCATGTGATTACTTTTAGTTGGTTGGCTATTATAAAATTGTATATCACAAATGATGATTTGCAGGGGAAGGGCAGGTATAGAGCACCTTGTATATCTAGCCCAGCATTGTCTAGTCTAGCAGGCAGTGGCTGTTCAGGGTCTAAGGCAGAAGTCATTCCTTTCACCTTTCCCCACAATCCTTTTTTTAAAAAACCCTCAATAACTGGAGATGCCAGGGGATTGAACTTGAGATCTTCTGCATTCAAAGCAGCTGCTCTACCACTGAGCTGTGGTACCTCTCATGAAATGCACGTGTCTCATGAAATCATCACCAACATCACCAGCTCCTCCCCTATTTTGAACCCTTCCCATCTCAATGATCTGTCAGAATGGCTTGTGGAGGGCTGGCGACTTCCAGTTCTGGACCTCTGGCTGGAAGCAATTTCCTATCCATGGGCTACAGCTACTACTGTCCTTGCCAATTGGCAAGAGCAGATGGGAAATGGAGCCCAGCAACATCTGGAGGTCTACAGCTCCCTTGTCCCTTCTGTAGAAAAAAACCACACACAATAGTTTGCTCTAAAATCAAGGTTTCTCATCTGCATTCTGAAATAAATATCTGCTTCATCTCCTCCTATTCCTCTGTTTTTGACACCTGAGATGTATGTTTTTGGGACCCACTCTATTTTTTTGTGATTGCATTCCCCCCCCCCCATAACTGCAATACCACCACCAATAAGTTATTGTGAAAAGCACAATAAAACTCTGGAGATCTGGCTTCAAGCACTCTGGCTGTAAGCAGAAAAAAGTCTACCTCCAACTCCTTGGAGACAAAATATTGAAACTGGCTGCAAAAGCACTCTAGTTGATTCTAATGCCCCATTAAGATACATAGGGAAGAAGTTGAAGGTAATCAGATTACAAGCAAGAGGGTGCTTTGTAGGTTAAACCAGAGCTCAGTTTGGAGCCTCAGCTAACCAGTCCTCGAACCTAGAAATACAGAATTTACATTGTAATGCATTAAATGAGAGTGTCCCTGAGCATGTGCAGAGCATCTTTCGTTGCAGGTCCTCACACCTGAGGGATCATGGATCTGGACTTGCAGGGGACATGAGGCAGCTCCTCAAGGAACTTAAATCCTGCCCCCTCCCTTTGTCAAAAATAGACAATGTATGGACAGCATGCCTGACATAGTGTTAGAGGGACAACTCCTTGCAAAGATGCTCTGTGGAATTAAACAACAACAAAAAAGCCTCTTTCCCTCTGTCTTAAAAATTCAATTTGTCTTCCTCCCCAAAATCAAATATTCCACTGCTGCAAGTCATTGCTTTTGGCCATTTCTATCCACCCCCTGCACCAAGGAATACTTCCAAGCATGGGGTCACTCATCCGAAATCAAATGCTGGCCACTAATTCCATCTCCTCCTTCCCTTAATTAAATGCATTTCTCCGTTGCAGTCAACAGCTAGCCACTAATCCTCCTTGCTCCCCCCTCTGCTTCCAGCAATAATGCATTTAAAATGTATCATCTGTCCAAAAGCAACCTCACTGTGCTGGCTCTCTCTAATCCTGCCCTCGTACTCTTGCAGAAACAAGTGCAGCCAACAGCACCCAGCCATTCATGCTTCATCTCTGACTCCCCAAAACAAATGCAGCCCTTCATACCCCTCACCCGATAATAATAACAACGAAAAACAGCTTCTGTATTTAATCCTCTGCAAAGCACACAAAATCCCAGTCAGAGAAAGGGGGGGGGAGAGAGAGAAAAGATGCGCCAGGTCCCTCAAAGTTGAACGCAGCCATGTTGCCATGAGTGAGTCCAAATCATCTTCCAAAAATAGATGCATTGGGACTAATATATTTTCCCCTTTCCCTCCCGTTCCCCCGTCTGAAATGCAGCCCTCAACATCTGCCTCTGAAATTCTGTCTCCAAACACTTTATCAATTTCCCTCTCCTCTGATCTTGTCCATATTTAGACGTGCATATTCTCTCTCTCTCTCTCTCACACACTCCTATTGTTCTGTTTTCTATATTTTAATTATTCCTTTTTTGTCACCAGAAATAATAGTAGGATTGCCAAGATGCCTGTTATCACCAGGGATGCCTGAGCTTGACCCTTATTTAAATAAAGCTCAGCTCCAAAGTGCTTCATCAAAGAAACCCCAAAGATTCCATTTCCTATTATCTACGTTCCACACACCAGCAAACAGATTGTAGAGAAACCAATTACAGGTGGGTGCTCCAGATCTAAGGCAACCTCCCGTTTGCAATAAACAAATTTCATAGAGGCAGGCCAGGATGGCTTTGCCTCCAAAGCTTAAGACGCAATCAGTCCAAATAATCTAAAAACAATGTAGCAGGTGGGAAAGTGTGTGCGTCACCTCATTTGGGTAGGGGTGAAATGACTTCTGCAAGATGTCACAATGTGTGATGTATGAAGATAGAAAACTTCATTTTGGTCTCTTGTGCCAATTTAACAGTCACAACCTCTGATGAATTCTGGGAACTGTAGCTTGGTGATGGGGCAGGGCATAATCTATTAATGATTCCCCCTTCTACAGACCCTGGGTTCTTTGGGATGGGGGAAGTAAGATATATATTTAGAATTAAGTTCAGAGTACGTACTTAGTCAAAGGAAGTGGTAAAGCTCCTAGACCAGTGGTTCTCAAAGGGTGTAGCAATGCTACACTGGTGTGGCAGGAGAGGATGGCATGTGTGGCAGGAAGTTTCAAGGACAATCAAAGAAGCATTTCAGTGTAGTGTAATGTAGATATATCTCTCTATATCTCTATATCTCTATATCTCTATATCTCTATATCTCTATATCTCTATATCTCTATATCTCTATATCTCTATATCTCTATACCTATATCTATATCTATCTATCATCTATCTATCATCTATCTATCATCTATCTATCTATCTATCTATCTATCTATCTATCTATCATCTATCTATCTATCTATCTATCTATCTATCTATCATCTATCTATCTGTCTGTCTATCTATCTATCTATCTATCTATCATCTATCATCTATCATCTATCTATCTATCTATCTATCATCTATCTATCTATCTATCATCTATCTATCTATCATCTATCTATCTATCTATCATCTATCTATCTATCTATCTATCATCTATCTATCTATCTATCTATCTATCTATCTATATCTATCATCTATCTATCATCTATCTATCTATCATCTATCTATCTATCTAGCTATCTAGCTATCTATCATCTATCTATCTATCTATCTATCTATCTATCTATCTATCTATCTATCATCTATCTATCTATCTATATCTATCTATCATCTATCTATCTATCTATCTATCTATCTATCTATCTATCTATCTATCATCTATATCTATCATCTATCTATCATCTATCTATCATCTATCTATCTAATCTATCATCATCTATCTATCATCTATCTATCTATATCTACATTTGCAGAATATGGGTAGCTATCTTTTCAAAACAAGAGAAAGAGCATCAAGTGATACTTAGGACAATTCTAGTTGTGTTTTCCAATACATCTCTTATCAATGAAACATGTTGGTGTGGCACCGGCAAACTTTCATTCTGAAAGTGTGGCCCAGAGAAAAAAGTTTGAGAGCCACTGTCCTAGACTGTGACACTGCAGTCGGGGGGTTTATATGTTTGCAAGTTCTGCCATGAGAAATGCTCCCCTGTTGCATTCCTTTCATGGAAAGGGATATAGCTCAGTGGTAGAACATCTGTCCTCCCTGTTGATGTCCCAGGTTCAGTCCCTGGCATCTCCACATAGGGCTGGGGATGTCCCCTACCTTAATCCAGTGCAGTGGGGGGACAGACCTGTGGCCCTTCAGATGTTGTTGGACCACAACTCCCATCATTTCTTAAAACATGGGTGGTGCTGGCTGGGAATGATGGGCATTGCAGTCTAAAGAGGGTCACAGGTTTCTCCATCCCTGCTCTGGAGGGTTGACATGACGTGGGCAAGGAGACAAGGATTTGGCTGCATACCATGACAAATCAAGGCCCCTTCTTTGTGAGGTCTCATGCGCAGCCCCTCTCCAAGGTCTCAGGAACAGGAGGGCTCTTCCAATCCCTGCTCCCTGAGATTCTTTAAACTGGAATTGACAGGGACTGGTTTTTCCTATGTGTACAGGCTGTGCTCTGCACGATAACCCCTACTCCAGCTAGATGCCTACAGAAAAGCAGAATGTACTGAGACACACTTACACTGATCTTTGTTGCATCCTTATTTGTTACCTGAAAAAGAAAAGAGGGAGAAATTAAACAGGGAGAACGGATCCATCAGAACAACATTCCTCTCGCACACATTCTCCCTCCCCCTCCCCACCTCACATGCACCCATTAAGCAGACAGTTCTCTTCCTCAAACAGGGTTAATGGCAGACCACCTTTCCTTGATTGGGGATACACTCAACTGCTTCTTAACTTACTGCGTATGTGGTTTGGGTGAAAGACAATCGGGTTGACTGGGTGGCAGTAAAACAGTTATCACATTTTGCTATTTGATAACAGCATTTGAGGGCAGTGATGGCCACAAGTTGGTTAACTGACATATATCTCAAGCAGCTGCAATTCCAAAGGCAATGGAATAGCAATGGCAGAAGCAAGAAAGGAAGCTTGTTGGTGAACTGGCCTGGAGTAGTGGGTTTTGATCCACTGTATTTCCACACGAGTCTCTCTTGTTATTATCCATTATTATCCATTATCCTGACCTTCAAATGCATGGTAAAGGTATCTGACGATGTCACATTAACAGTCTTAATCAAATCTACTCGGAAGTAAGTCCTATTCCTACGGGAGTGGGGCTAGGATTGATATTAAAATAAGCAGCGACTTATAAAAGCAACATCAAAATAAAACCTCAATTGATGTTAAAAAGCTAAAAAGGCATAGGATTTTTTTTTAAGTCTTTGTCTGGCACTGGAGAGGCATCAGAGTGGGTGTCAGGTGAGGTTTTCTGGGGGAGACATTTCAAAGCCAGAGTGCCACCACTGAAAAGTCCATCTCCTGGCAGCTGCCCACTACACTACTGATGGTAGAGGAACCTGGAGAAATGTTCTGATCAGGGCAGATTGCCCGCCTGAGAAAATTACCTTGTCAAGCTTAGCTCTACAACAGGGGATCATAGAATGCTTTAGTTGATGGATTACAAGAACCCAATATGGTAGCATATTGAATCACAGAATTGTAGAGTTGGAAGGGACCCAAAGAGTCATCTCATCCAATCTCCTGCAAGAGAAGAATCGCAGCTAAAGAAACCCTGACAGATGGCCATCCAACCTCTGCTTAAAAACCTCCACTAAAGAAGAGTTCACCACTTTCAGAGGTCATCGGTTCAACTGTTGAGCAGCTCATACCATCAGGAAGTTCTTCCTAATGTTTAGTCGGAATCTCATTTCTTGTAGCTTGAATCTACTGGTTTGGGTCCTACCCTCTGGAGCAGCAGAAAACAAGCTTGCTCCATCTTCCACATGGTATTTGAAGAAATAGGTTTTTAACATGGCGCCTAGAGTGCAGTTTGCAAACAGCTCTGCCATTGTTAGAAATAGGATACTTCAGCTGGGCCTCTTCATTTACACCATCCATTTAAGGCCCTTTTATGCTACTTTAACAGCTGTGGCTCCCTGCAAAGGATCCTAAGAAGTGACGTTTGTTAAGGGTGCTGGGAATTGCAGCTCTGTGAGGGGTTTTCTAACAACTTTCAGTGTCCTTAATGAACCACAGTCCCCAGGATTCCTTGGAGGAAGCCATGGCAGTTTAAAGTGATATGACGTTGCTTTAAACTTATGGTGCAATGTGGATCAACGCTGCAGGTAAAAAAAGCTATCAAACATCTCAGGCTCAACGGTTGACAAAGGAGGCCCTTAGCAGTAGTGCCTGTTGGCATTGACCCACAACAGGACCTTCTCAGTGGTGGTTCCCTGTTTCTGGAATGCCCTGCCTGGTGAGGTATATCTGTCTCTCCCATTATTAACTTTCAGGAGGAATTTACAAACATAAATATTTTCACCCAAGCATTTGATGGCAAAAGGATGCTATTCATGGCGACCTTAGAATTACTAGCTGTGAAAGTATATTATTGTTTTAGAATTTTTTTGATGTTTCAATTTGCTTTTAGAGGTTTTTTTTACATGTTTAAAACATCTTTTTGTTTTTATTGCTTTTTATCGGATGTGTTTGGTGCCCTGGGCTCCTTGGGGTGGAAGAGCAGGATATAATGATGGTGGTGATAGTTAGATTGAAGATGGGACCAGCAATCCAAGCAGTCCCTTCCCCATGTTGTTGTGGTTTTTTTTAGAAGAAAATGAGATGGGGTGGATGGAGCCCTGTCTCAGATCTCCCACGTATTGTCCAGTTTGTCTTTGACTTTTATTAAAAGGCTAAAGGCAACATGTAAAGCTCATCTATATATTTTCCTCTCCGTTGCCACCCCAGCCAATATCGCTGGGCGAGTGCATGTTTTGCAACTCCATTTGAGCAGAGCTGGCATGCTATACATTCAAAAGAAGCAGATTTTCAGCAATAGCTTTGTGACCTGGAAAGGACACTCTAACAAGAAACACTGTTTTACAGCTCCTGCCTCTGGTTCTATCATTACATCTATTTCCGATGTTCCAGTGGGGAGTGCTGTTCTTTTTGTGCCTAAAATAGCACCATCCAAGCACAAGAGGGAGGCTTCAGAAGATTTGAGGAAACCCTTCCAGAAATGAAAATACCTTCAGGGCAGTGGAGACACCAAACATGAGACCAAATCCTTAGTGTCCCTTCCAACTCTGCCATTCTATGTGTCTATGAAACATGGTCACTGGCCATGAAATGCTGGTTGACTTATTGGTGCTGGTGCTGGTGAATTGTGTGTATTTCTGTGGAATAGAGTGCCTGGAATTTTGATTGACAGGGCTCTCCACTGCAACATTTCGTTGCAGGTCGCCTTGATCGCATGTAAAAGCCAATAATCTGCCAGACTTTACTGTGACAAAGGAACAGAACCCAGGGCGGAGCTATGCAGATGGCTACATGGGGCTTCACAAATGAGAACAGGCTTGGTTATCAGTGGCTCCAGCTAGGTTTCATAGGAAATGGTTGCAATTTGGGATGCAGCTGGAAGGAGGCTGCATGTCTTCCTTATGCAAGTCCCTGGGAGCAGTGCAAAACCCTCCCTAAAAACTTAAGAAGAACCTGCTGAAAGAGGCCAGTGGCATATCTAGTTTAGAATCCTGGCCTTGCTGTGGCCAACCAAATGCCTGTGGAAAACCTGGAAGCAGAACCTGAGCAGAAGAGCTCTAACCCCTTCTGTGGCTTCCAGCAACTGTTATTCAGAAAGGTTACTGCCTACTGTGTCTAGTAGCCACAGATAGCTCTCTTCCTTGAATGTGTCCAATCTTCTTTCAAAGCCATTCAAGGTGGTGGCCATCACTGCCTCTTGTGGGAGTGAGTTCCATAGTTTAACTAGGCACTGGGTGAAGCAGGAGGAGAAAAGCTTTCCCATTCACTTTCTCCATGCCATGCCTAATTTTATGAACTGCCATCATGTCACCTCTTCCTTGCCGTTTCCCTAAACTAAAAAAAACCCCAAACACTGCAACCTTCCTTTGCAGGGGAGTAGGTTCATTTCCACTCCAATGGTTATTCCGAGTGGTCCCTTTGTGTTCTCCTCTTTAAGTGAACGTGTGCCATTTATTCCTACAAGGATTCAGAGTTGTAGTGGGGGGTAAGGCATGCTCTGCACCCCTACAGTGGATGCCTTGCCCTTGGCCAACAGGATCAACATGCGGGAGTGCAATTTGTCTCCATTCAGAGAGCCACCTTATGCTCTTCCCTGCTGTATACAAGCCTTCTCTCCAACTGAGTGTGCACTTGTGCACACGCAGGCATGCACTCATAACTTACGGGTATTTTTGCTAGTACCAATTCACCAGCTGAAGCCCCAGTAAGTGGGTTGCACAGTTTTAGCCGATGCTGGTCTGGGCTTTAGCCATGGGACATCCCCCAACCCAGGTTCTCTTCTACATTTTAATTATTATGAGCCAGAGCAAAGATAAATCATTCCGCCGCAGAGTTATCCCGCAGCTTCTCCGGGGGGTGGGGGGTGGGGGTGGGTGGGGGGTGGACATATGCACAGGTCACATCCCACCGGAGGAGGATTGGAAGAAGAAAGAAAAAAGCTAACAACTATGAATCATCGGCAGAGAAAAAGTTCCCTGTGCCAAACAACCCACCTCCTAGATTTGTTTACTTGGCTGTTGGCTAGAAGGAAATGGAATGTTCACTTGACAGCAGTGGAGCAGTGAGTCTGTGATGAGAATAAGGCAGTGGAGGCTGGTCCATTGGGGAGAATGAGGAACAGCACCACCAGCCTTAGCCTGTCCTCTGCCAGCCGCCTGGCTGCTTGCTTACATCCAGTCCAGGAGGTGGCCCTGCCCACCAGCGTCCTCCTTCCTAAGTCTCATTGGGGTGGAAGGATGGGGACAAAACCAGAATTAGTCAGCTTTCCCTGTCATTGGCTCTGGCGCCACTTACTGTTGAGCTCCCTGCTTTCTGCCCCACCAGTCCAGATGGGCACCAAGCGCCGGTGGAATAAGGGGTGTTTCACACATGACGTGGAGACAAAATTGGATGCCCTCAACAGAGAGCCATAGCTAAACCTGTATTTTTTCACAAGTGAACCTAGATAATGCACCTATTCTGCAAGCATGTGAGGCATATTCATGCATTACACTGGCATCATCTTAGATGTACACTCCCCCCCCCCAAAAAAAAGTGGTATACCATTCACCAGTGTTTCAGCAGAATCCTGTCTGTTCATATTTAATTGTTTGGTGTGATCTGTTTATCTCGCCATTAAGTAAAGCAGGTTATGGATTTAGCAGTGACTGGCAAATCTTATATGCATCTGATTACCAAAGAAAAAGGCAAATCAGTAGTAATTCTGTTACTAGCTCTACTCTTACTAGAATGAATAATAATAATAATAATTTCCCAAGGACTGCAACATTTAATCAATAACTGTTAAATTTTTGAGGGGTAACTTAGACTGCAGTCCTATGCACAATTACATGGGAACGCAATAGAAATTCCTTCTCAGCAGAGATTCATGAATTTTGCCATAAAAAAGTGGTGCCTTAATCAACCAGGTCCCTACTTAATTTTTTTATTACAAAGTTTTCAGCACAAATACTTGTACAAATTACAGATGGCAAGGGCTACCTTAAAAGAGGCATTCCCTCCTGTGTATGAGAGGAGGACGCATCTTCTAAGATAAAGTCGTCTGCAAGGAGAGTCGTACATCACTTGAAAACAAAGCAAGCCCCCTTTCTCCTTCAGAACAATTGCTTTTCTCCTGATATGCAAATTTAACAAATTAATTCCCATGCAATTAATGAACTGAAATTAACATAATCAGGCCCCAGTCCTATTAAATTAACGGCATTTTCATTTCTCCATAGTCTTGGGGTAGCTTACCTAGTCATCCTCACATTTTGTCCTCTCAACAAACCTGTGAGGCAGATGTCATTAGACTACATCTCCCATCACCCCTGCACCCATTGGCCATGCTGGCTGGGGCTGATGGGAGTGGTAGTGCAAAAGATCTGGAGGGCACTAGGTTGGAGAAGGCAGCTGTACAGTAAGACTGAGATTTAGCAGCTTGCCCAAGGAGAACTTCACATCTGAGACAGTCTTCCCAGTCCATGTCTAGTTCACCACAATCACTCAATGCACCCCTTATGAACTCTGCATTTTCTAATGTAGATCAGCCTCCTACCTCTTAACTCTGAGTGCTCATCAGGAGATAGCTCAGCCAGTAGAGCATGAGACTCTTAATCTGAGGGTTGGAGCCCCATGTTGGGCAAAAGTTTCCTGCATTGTTGGACCATCATGGGCTCTTCCTATGATTATGATCAGTGGTTGCTGGTGCTCATTGGGACTGGTGGGGTGGACGGCAGGGAGACTAACAGTAGGTGGCGCCAGAGTCAATGACAGGCAAAACCAACTAATTCCAGCTTTGTTCCCACCCTTCCTGCCTGCCTTCAGGTCCTTCCAGGGCAACACTGAGACAAGGGTGACCCTCAGTGCCACCTACTGGAACCTTTGTGCAAGTAAGAAGGCAGGCAGATGAGAACCAGCTGAAGGCAATGTCCCATGGAACAACCTTCACTGGTGTCCATATAAGCAGGGAGAGAGGGAAGGTCAAAGGTGGCACAAAGGGTGGAAGGATAGCTGGGTAAGCAGAGGCACAGCGGCACAGCAGCACCCAGGCCACATTGCGATATTTTAAGTATTTACTTATAGCATTGATATCCCACCTTTCCTCTGAGGAGCTCAAAGCAGTGTCCATAGTCCCCCCCATCCCATTTTTATCCTCACAACAACCTTGTGAGGTTGGCTACATCTGTGATTGAGTGACAGGCCCAAGGTCACCCAGGGAGCTTCATGGCCGAGTAGGGATTTGAACCCTGGTCTTCCAGGTCCTAGTCTGACACTCTAACCACTATACTGCACTGGCTTATAGTCCAAGCATTCATCTCTAAGCCAAGAATGAAAGGGAAGTTCACCAACAATTACCATTCACAACAACCAATAATAATAATAATAATTCTACCCATATCCTTCCCCACCTTTCATCAAGGGCAGATTTACAACTTGATTCAGTGGGCCTCAGATAGCGCTGATATGGGGACTTATAAACATTCACTCCATGAAGGTAGCTTGCATTTTGTGTGTCCGTTTCCCTGTGCCGAGAGAGTCCTTGTCATCTAATCTTAACTGTACATCATAAATACCCTTCAGCAACATTTGTCATGTTGCAGATAACTACTGTAATTATCACCAGCCCAGGAAACATGCTCAAGTTCCCCACCTGTTCCCCACCTGCTCTGAACCAAAAATGCTCTGCTCCTTTCTGCTGTCAGTCCATCTCGCCTCCCATTCAGACAACCAGTTGATGTCCTCATGGGCTGATTCTTGCTTTTGAGTTCCGACTTCCTATGTGGCTGCTATGATGCATCATCATCAAAATGCAAAGGTTGTGGCTCACCCTGCAACCATATTTTTTTTAAAATATATAAACCGATGAACCTAGGGATGGTGCATTGGAAATGCACCACTGAATGCCTGTTCACACATGCACGTATAGCTCTTGACTCCTTGTCATTGGAAAACTCGCAGCAGAGTGGCTGGATGTGCTGAAGAATCCTGCACCCTGGATGTGTGGCAACATGTGAGCTCCACAAGTGAGCTCTGATCGCTGGTCATCGCTCACATAGGCTCGCCACCGCTTGAAGGGGAAAGGCCTGTAGCTCAGTGGTGGAAAATTTGATTTGCAAGCAGAAGGTCTGAGGTTTGATCCCTGGCATCTCCAGTTTAGGGCTGTGGAGGAACCCTGCAGAGCTGCTCCCATCAGTGTAGACAGTACTGAGCTTGATGAAACAATGGTTTCACTCTGTAAAAGGCAGCATCCTATCTCCCTATGTCCCCTTGATTCTGAAGCCACCAAGTCCCATCTGTGAACCAGCCATGGATCCATCACATTCCTGAACGTCCCTGCAAGGGCCCCCTCTGTGGCAAATGTTACACCCCCTAGTGGACTGCATGCCCCACTTATTTGTCTGAATCCACTCTGTTACGTGCGGCAGAGATGGAGATAAGCAGAAGCAACCCCAGAAATACCGCTTTCTTGATGCGTGTTGCCGGACCGCCTTTCTTTCTTTCTTTCTTTCTTTCTTTCTTTCTTTCTTTCTTTCTTTCTTTCTTAAAACCCATGTATTGGGTTTCTGTTCCTACCTCCCGTGGTCTGGATCAAACCTTGCTAATTAATGGTCTATGCATGGGTGGATATATATCTCTATTTGTGAGGATTTATTACCTTGGTTCTGCTGCCGGGGCCACTGATGGCTAATTCGTGAGCAAGCTCTCGTGCTGGTTCCTTAAGATACCACCATTGGATTTCCAAGGAGTAAGAGGTGGATCCGCTGGCCCGGAAAGCACAAGGCATCTCAATATCATCCCCCTCTCTAACAGTCACATCTTTAGGAACTTCTGTAAATGTAGCTGGAGACCAAAAATAAAAAAGGGGGGAGGATAGGGTGGCAAACAGGGAGAGATGGAAAAAGACACAACAGAGCTGTTCTGCTAAGAGTCCAAAATTCACAGCAAAACGTTGCAGAAGGAGGGGCTTTTATCAGCTTTCCTGAACTAGCCAACATGCCATGGATGCCGCCCACGCTACATGGAACTGAAGGGTGGCAGGGACCGGGAGGGGGGAGCCCAGAGGTCATGTTGTCGAGTCCATCTATCCCCTCAAGTGCCCGGAAATGGACTCATCTGTCAGACCCCAATTGTGGTGTATCACAACGGGCGAGGTTCTCCACCCATCTTTGCTTGTTGACAAGGGATGGCCGCCATGCCCCCCACCCCACCCTCTGGCACCCCCTGGTGAACACTGCAGTCTGGGCACCCATCCATATCAGACAAGTGTCAGAGGAGAGAATGTAAAAGTTTGCCGGATAAATTTTCCCCCAGCAAAAACAAAAGCCTGCAGGGAGACACATTTCCCCACCCTCTCCACTTTCTAGGGACCACCACATTTCAAGGGCTGTGTGTCTGGGACATGGTGGTACCCACCCCCTACTGTTTTCACCCCCCCTTTTGCTCTGGGTTCTCCTCTGCAGCAAGAGTGCAGGCATCCCTCAGTCCTGCAGCCCGGGCTGTGCTCTTTTGCCTGCACCCTCTTCTCTTAAGCATCATTCCCCAGACCCCTGCATTTCCAAAGGCATGAGCTCACTTGCCTCTTTCTGATACAAGCAACCCACAAACCACTCAAACAGTGCAGCATCTCTCTCTCTCTCTCACACACACAAAAATATATAATGGTGCACATATCAATTTGCCTGGCTTCCAGACATCAGATCAGTTATGCATCTATAGCCAGCTGTCTGCGCAGATTATGGAAACAGAAGTGAAAGGCAGTTAAAATACAGACACTTGCTGCAGACTGAGAACCAGATCCCTGATTTTGCTACCAAAATTAAAGCAAGCGCGGGGGGGGGGGGGAGAAGTTTAGGACTTACCCTGGACCATGAAGAGCAAGGGGGCATTGAGCATCAGGTAACAAAGGGAGCCTAGCAGCCCTCGATTTTCCATCTCATATATGTGGACTTTGGAGTACAGGGCAAAGCGAGGGGATCGGAGGGGGTGGTCAAAACAACCAGGCTAAGAGATCTTCACATCCCATGGCAGTGCCAAGGCATTGGAGAGCCTGGTCCAGCGATAGGATCAATACGAAGAGGAATACTTTAAAAAACGAAATGAAATAAATAGCCACCGAGCTCGATTTCTTTCCTCCCCCACTTCTCTCTTCTCTCTCTTTGGAAGCACATATAAAATCCACAGCCAGTTGGTCCAAGGGAGGGGAAAAAATTGCTGTCGTGACGTTGGAAGAAATTGATCCTGAGAAGCCAAAGCGTAAATCTGCCGGTTTGATTGTAATTATTAATTCCCACCAGCCAGAATCCTCTTCTTCTTCCTCCTCCTCCTCCTCTAACAACTCTGCGGCAACCACAATTCAACTTCCTTGGTCTGAACGGGGTTTTCTGGAGCCCCCAAACGAGGAAGCAATCCCAGGTTTCCTGCCCAGACCCATCTGGGCTCTCCTCTTCCAAGGGAGAGTGAAGAAGCCGAGAGAGCGATTCCCAGTCTCCCCCCCCCCCGCGCTCTTCCAGTCGTTATTTCCAAGGGATTTCCCTCCCTCCTTCCTTCTTCCTGACACAGCGAGGAGGAAGAGCTTCCTTCTCCTCCCTTGTGGTGGTGTGTAGGGTCCAAATCAGGCGCAGGATTCGAAGGGTTGGATCCTTCTCTCCTTATTTTTTTTAACCCACTCTCAAATCAAGATGCTTTGCTCAACCTATAAGAGGAAATTTCACCATCTGACGTTCCGGCGTGGAGGCAGCGGTGGGAGAGAGACCAGTCCAGGAGACGGAGGGAGGGAGGGAGGGACCGAGAGAGAGACAGAGAGAGAGAGGAAAAATTAAGTTGTGCTTCCCTGAGATCAAATGGTTGGATTTTAAAGCTGCACACACGCAGACAGGCAGAGGACGGAGCAAGTCACCCAAGCAGAGGAGGCACGTTGGCAATTGCTATCTGCTTTGAAGGCGTTTGTTTGCGCGTCTGGGAGAGGAAGAACGCCTTCTATGACAGACTTAAGTCCCCCAAAGTGCAATTCCCCTCGTTCATCGCGACCGATATTTCCCAAACTGGGGGACTGGGGCGGGGTGAGAGAAGGGGATGGTAGAGCGAGAGTGAGAGAGACAGAGAATGGGTGGCAGAAAGAGAGAGAGAGGGGGTGGGGAGGGGGTGGCAGAGATTGGGGGGAGGGGGGGAGGGAGGGAGAAAGCCGCCTCCACATCGTTTCCCGAAACTAGTTCCCTTCCCATCGAGTTTTTCTTCTTCTTAAGGGAAATTTACTCACATCCTACACAGACAGACAGAGGCTGGCGCCGTCTCCAGCTGGTCCCCACTTCCCCGCAAACGCGCAGCTGGGCTTCCAAGTGCCCAGGAAGTGAGACGCTGCTGTCCCCGAGCCAAGAGCTGGATTCGAATCCCACACACACACTCGCACACGCACCGCGTTTAACATTCCGGCGGCGTCCACAGGGCGTGGAAACAGTCCTTCTCTCTCGCCCTCTCCCCCCCCCCCCAGCCGCAAAACGATTCTGACTGCGCGCACACACACAGCCCACTCGGAAGCCACCACAGCCCCCGGTGTGGAAGTCTCACTTTTCCAAATATCTTACCTTGGTTCTTCTGTCCAGCCTTTCTGAGGAGGAGGAGGAGGAGGAGGAGGAGGAGGAAGAAGAAGAAGAAGAAGAAGAAGAAGAAGAAGAAGAAGAAGAAGAAGAAGAAGAAGAAGAAGAAGAAGAAGAAGACCGGCGCTGGTCGAAAAGGAGGAGAGGCGTTCGGATTTAAAAGGAAATAAAATCTAGGGAGATGATGAGCTCCCTCCCTTAAAAAAAGCAACACGCCAGCCAGAGTCCTTAGAGAGAAAAATGGTGTGTGGGGGGGGGAGAGGCGTCCCTTGCAAATAGACAGTGATGGGGGGGGGGAAAGCCCCCTCCCTTGCTAAAAGTCCGCAATGGAGACCGTGAAGAAGTGATGTCGAAAGGGAGGGGCGCGCGAGAGCGATGGGGCGCGCGAGAGCCGGCAGGTGCCTGGACTGGATGCAGGGGCAGATGTGGTGGCGGGGGAGGGGACCAGAGGGGGAGGGGGGAGCTGGGGACAGACTAGTTGATTCAGAGCGAGTTCGATTTCCGGTTTGGGATTGGGGGTGGGCCGCTGTGTGTGTGTGTGTGTGTTGCGGTTAGAGCGTGCGGTGCCCATCCTCCGTAAAGGGAGCGGGGGTCTGTGTGTCAGAAACACAAGCTTTATGCTTTCCTCCTCCTGCCTCGATTCCGGGTAGGGGTGGTGCCTGGTGGAGGGATGTGGGGGAGTCCTGGCAGATCTCCCCCCAATAGTTCACCTCCCCCCACCGCCCACATGGCCGGTTCCTCGGAGGGAAGGCGCTGCATCCTCAGCTCGGGATGGGGGTTGCGCTTGGCTGAGCGGCGCGGATTCCTACGGAAACTAACCGCTCCCAAACGAGGAGGGCTTCCGAGAAGAAAGGGTCTTCAGGACGGGGGGGGAGAAGGCGAAATGCCTTGATGGGATTGCTCTCGGAATTTCAACAGGTGAAGCTCGCCCCCTCCCCCAAAATGCGCTTTCCCCCTTCTGTGCACCCCTCACATCCCCCCCCCACAACCCGGATCTCCACGAATGAAAGATAAGCAGGGATTTGTATTGGAAGTTGTTTAGTACTGCATTTCACATTGTCTGCTCAGGTTTCTAGTTCCTGCATTCCATACATTTAGGGACTAGAAACCTGAACAATGAGAAATATTGCGGGGGTGGGGGACAGTTTGTTTCATCACGTGAGAGCACATTTACTGAGATAAGCTGTTTTAAAAGCAAAACATAATTTCTCATGGTCTGTTCAGGTTTCTAGTCCTTAAGTACAAGAAATGTAGGGCGGGTGACAGCACTTTTTAATCCTCAAGTATGTGAAGGCTTCCTTCCTCCATGATGTTATTTCACAGTCTTATATCATTTTGATTGATGATTAACTGGTGACATTTTATTTTATGGTAAATTCTGATGTGCATTAAATATGTTGTGCAACAGTTTGAGTGTGTTTGGGTCCAAATTGTGGTTCGGATGTATGCAGATCTACAGACCATAAACAATGAACCAAAAACATGAACAACATCAGGCATCTCTGCATGCCAGCTGGTCAGAAGGAACAACTGTTTATAAATCAGTGCCTGAGTTTTGATTTTGATTTTCCTCTTCCCTCCATGTCCCCTTTCCCTTGTGTGTCTTTTTATTTTATTTTTATTTTTTAGATTGGAAGCCTGCGGGCAGAGATTGTCTTCTATGTAAGCCATCCTGGGAGACTTTTCCGCTGAAGAGCAAGGCACCAATGCTTAGAATAAACAAAGAAAGAAACAAATAAGCAAATAAATAAACATATGCATAAAACACAATGCAGCAAAGCAAAAACTCAGTTGTACATGCATACAAATAGGTCACAGTCACCATCAGTAGAAGAATCATTCTAAACACTGATAATGGCATTTATCACATAATTTCACATCCAATCCCTGCTTCTAAAGAAGCAGCAATCAATGGCAGTGCTATCAGAATTACTATTGTAGAGTTGGAATGGTCATTCAGTCCAAGCCCCTGCTATGCAGGGATCACAGCTGCAGAACCCATCCCCCCCTGGGTACCTGCTGGAGCCCAGGATCCCTTGGTGTGCTCACTGGACCAATTCTGGGCACTCCTAGCTGCATGTTTATGGCTGTGGCCAATAGGCCTGCCAATCCACCTGCTGTTTAAAGCATGGGTAGGCAAACTAAGGCCCAGGGGCTGGATCCGGGCCAATCACCTTCTAAATCCAGCCGGCAGACGGTGCGGGAATCAGCATGTTTTTAAATGAGTAGAATGTGCCCTTTTATTTAAAATGCATCTCTGGGCTATTTGTGGGGCATAGGAATTCGTTCATTCTTTTCTTCCAAAATATAGTCCAGCCCCCCACAAGGTCTGAGGGGGAATAGTGGACCAGCGCCCTGCTGAAAAAGTTTGCTTATCCCTGGTTTAAAGTCTCACCTGGAGTCCCAGAGAGATCCTGTTGTTGGGGCATGATGGGTAATTTAAAAGGCAGTTGGCTCACAGCCACCTGATGCAGTGGCTGGTGTATGGCGCCTGCCTGATGCTCACCCTGACCATAAATGCTAATTTGGGGGGAGGGCAAAAATATGATGGGGGTGCAGACCCCAATGACATTTTGCTGACCACCCCTCATAAACGGAGCTTTACAACAACATAGCCATAGAAACCTGTGGAACCCTCTCTGTACCTCGGGTTACAGACGCCTCAGGTTACAGACTCTGCTAACCTAGAAATAGTACCTCTGGTTAAGAACTTTGCTTCAGGATGAGAACAGAAACCGTGCTCCAGCGGCACAGCGGCAGCAGGAGGCCCCATTAGCTAAAGTGGTGCTTCAGGCTAAGAACAGTTTCAGGTTAAGAACGGACCTCCAGAACAAATTAAGTACTTAACCCGAGGTACCACCGTACTGAGTTTTGGACAGGCTGCCTTCCTAGCTGAACTTCAGGTACATGGCCAATAATTTCTTCTCATTTTAAGGCAGTGTTTGGGTTTCCAATGGTTTTATGATGAATTTTGATTACTTCGTTTTCTGCATGGCTTATTTTTTATGCACACCGCTTAAAAATGCTAATGACCAAGCGGTAAATAAATGCTAATAATAATAATAATAATAATAATAATAATAGTCCTGTAGACCTCAGCCACTTTAGGCTGACAGCTTGTGGTTGCTTGTCTTAGACATGCCACACCAGATTGTGATGCGGGAGGACAAGAAGACAGCAGGCAGCATACAACTAAGTTCTACTCAAAGTAGACCCATTTACATTAATGGACCTAAGTGAGTAATGTCCATTTATTTCAGTGGGTCTACTCAATGAGTAGAACTTACATTGAAAGTAACCCAATATTTCTAGGTTTTCGGAATCTTATTATCCACCTTTTAATTTCTTTTCTTGAAAACCTTCCCAAAGGTTTTCTACTTTATTTCTGCAGTTTTAAACTCTTGTTGGTTGTTTTTTTTAGTTTTGTGTACACTGCTTGAGAGTTTATAAATTCTGAAACAAACAAACAAACAAACAAACACCTGCAGCCTGTGCACTTGCTGAGTTTATTTTATTATTTTGTTGTTTTGTTTTATTAGAGAAGTTGGCCTCTGGATTGCTTTCCAGCTCTGATACCTGAGATCCTCTTTAAATTGGAGATGCTGAGGATTAATCTTGGGACCTTCTGCGTGCAAAACGTGCTTTGCCTCTTAACATTGTGAACATAAGAGCATAAGAAGCACCCTGCTGGATTTAGATCCCTTGACGCATCTAGTCCAGCATTCGCTGCTCACAGTGGCCAACCGGATGCATATGGGAGACTCACAAGGAGGGTATGAGCACGAAGGGGCTGTCTTTTATCTGACCTCCAGCAGCTAATGTCCAGAGGCATACTGCCTTTGCTTCTGTAAGCAACATGACCATCACTGAACTATTAGCAACAGATAGCTTTATCCTCCATGAATTTGTGGGATCTCCTTGTAGCAGTGAATTTCATAGTTTATGGCCCAGGCATGTCCAAAGTCCACTTCGGGTGTGTAATCTGGCTCACTGGTTGATTTAACGCAGCCCCTGTGGCAGTATATGTCTTGGGGTAAAATCCTAAAAAAAGCTCATCAACTTCAATCCTAAAAAAGCTCAGCAACTCAGGTGTAAAATTGTAAAAAAAAAGCTCAACAACTTCAATCCTAAAAAAGCTGAAGAACTTCGGTCAACCCTCACTCATGTTCACTTCATCAAATGGCCCTCTTTGGGCACCCCTTATGCTGTATGAAAGAGTACTTTTGTCTGAGAGAGAAAGAAAAACATGTCTACATGCAGCACATTGTTAAACTGTGGAACTCACTCCCACAGGAGGCAGTGATGGTCACCAACCTGGGTGGCTTCAAAAGTGGACCAGGCCCATGGTCCATGTAACCTCTGACCTGCCTCACAGGGTTGTTGTGGATAAAAAAGAAAGGGGAAGAAGAGAACCTTGCATGCCACCTTGAGCTCTTTGGAGAAAAGGTGGGGTATGGATGCTAATGATGAAGATGATAATAATCCAAAACACCTGGAAAGCATATTTTGCCTCTCCCTGTTTTGAGATCCCCAAGGATGTGTTCTGCAGGGAATAAGCTTCAGGCACCAGGCCCATTGGCAGACCAACTTTGTGTTACAATGATGTCTGCACACGTGACATGAAGGCTGGCAACATCAACCCCGCCAGGTGGGAATCCCTTGCAGATGATCACAGTGCCTGGAGACACAGTCCTGTATCCACATCAGTGGCCAGAGGAGGAAGGACTGTTCTGAAGAGTGCAGAGAGAGGAGACGCCATGGTGCATCATCATCAGCATAACGGATGCCTTCATCTGCTCCAGCTGCAACAAAACATGTCTCTCCCATATCACTCTCCACAACAGATGCTGTAACCTTCCAGCAGTTTGACTTCACCCTCAAAGACACACTCTTCCATTTTCTCCAGAGACAGATGGATGCCAACCAACCTGTCCTAAGCTAAAAAAAGTTCCAAACCCTGCGACCTTAAGACTTGATCCTCCTGTACAGTTGCCCCCTAGCTTTCACAAATCAATGCTCATGTGTGTGGGGAGGTGTTCACAGGAGGTGCACAACACAGGTTCAGCCGGCTGACACGTCACCCCCCCCTTCACTTTCTCCTGAAAGGAACTGCCAGGCTGCAATTCAGAAGAGGCAGCAAAGATCTCGGGTGTTTTTACAGCCCCTGCCCAGTGCACGAAACCAAGCCAGGGCCTCAGAACCCAGCTGGCAAGCTGCACGTGGGGAACTGCCTCTGGCTTGGCCCCCCCGGGGGAACTGCCAACAAGGACCAGTCGCGCGCACGATGCGACGGAGCCGGATCTGCGTGGGAGTTTTCATTAACTCCAGCAATGGATGGCTGCTCCGCACGGAGGGAGCGGGCCCTTGATGGCTTTTCCTCTGGCAGTTCCCCTATGCCCCATCATGTCACGTTCGGCATCTCAGCTATTGGTACCCTGAGCACGTCCTCCTTGCACGGAGCTTATATTTCACTGGCCTTGGGGCAGGTAAATGAAAGCGCGGGAGGGATGCTGCCGGTTGTTGCTTGTGTTGTTCATTATGTGATTCCCTGTGCTTTTCATAAAGTGCAGTCAGCGGCGTAGCGTGGGTTATCAGCACCCGGGGCAAGGCAAGTAATTTGCGCCCCCAAACCCGGGGCAAGGCAAGTAATTTGCGCCCCCTAACCCCTAACCATGGTCATTAATACTGACGGCTCTACTCTGGTGACTACTGCCCTCCGTGGTGTTGTTTTTGCAATTAAAGGACCCCTGCCTCAAATAAAGCATCTTGGGGATTGGGGACTGGGATTTGCCAAGGGAGCTGGAAATTGCAGTTCAGTGGCGGGTCAGGGGGAGAGGGTCCCTTCCGCGTCTGGGTGCCGCGGGCCCCTTTGCGCG